TCTGGCGAAGATTTCCCCGCTTCCAATTCTCCCACGCCCCCCATTTCGCACCCTCCTCTCCATGGACATCGATGCATTCATGAGGTTGCTACTGCTACAGGTTCTTCGCTACGGAAGGACCCGGGCGAAGGCCCAGCTTGTCTACGTTTGGACGCTCCGGGGGACCATGCTCCTGGCGTTCACCGGTGGCATCGACCTCCGCTTGTGCAGACCAGCCTCCTCTTCTCGAACATGAACCCGATCTGGTCGGCGGCACGCTCCTGTTGGACTCGGACTCATACACCACCCGGGTCCTGCTGCGTGGAGGACCTACAGCCACTTCTTAACTCGCGCGAGTGGCGCTTCTGAACTCTGGGTCTCCTGCATCCTTCGGTTCCGACTCCGTGGTCACCGCCGTGATAGCTGCCCGAGCCGTGACAGCTGGCAGCGTTCGTGTTTCGCCCTCTCGTCGTTGGGGTGGGTTTGGTGATGGACCCGCCCTTGTGACCACCCGGTCGATTCGTCTCACCTTTAATTTTCTCCATGGAGATAGAGCTACCGCTTCCTTGGCGGTCTGGGCTTGTTTTGTTCCAGACGCCGCCATGGGCCACGCCGTGCTTCTGGGTCGCGATAGCTGCATGCGCTTCAACTCTCGCGTGTTCACCACCCTCCCCCACCCTGGACCGGACGGCCGGGTTACGGGCGAGCTCACGCTCTCTCCGCGTTTTACAGTTGGCGCTTGCGTTTTCACTACACACGACGGCGCTCCTGTCTCCTCGTTTCACCTTAAATATGCAGGGAGCTCGGAAATTTCTTTGGGGCCGGAGCCTGCACTCGTTGAGGTGGACCTCGTTCGTTCTTCTGGCATGCCTGCGCTGATTGTAGAGTATCTGGTATCGTTCAAACCCGTAGTGGGTGCGCTTTCTTCCCCAGATGCGTTCGTTTCCAATGGTCTCCAGCGTATTTCCCTTGCAGGTTATGCCGAGCTCGAGCCGGGAGACGTAATTGGAGTGTCTGCCGCGCCGCTACTACGAGTACCGGTGGAAACCCTGAAGGCGGCACCATCTTCGATTCCTACCGGCCCCACAACATCTACATCACCACCTTGGGTCAATGCCGTTGGCCCCAAGTCCGGGACTCACCGCTCTCCGGACGCAGCCTCCGCCCCGCCTCCTCCGAAGCCGCCTCCATAAGAACTACTCGACCGCTTCTCTGAGGCACAGCGCTCCAGCTTCATGCGATTGTGGGCTCGGCTGCCCGCACATATGCACGACATCGCTTTCGATCTACACAATCCGGGANAAACGCCGTTGGCCCCATGTCCGGGACTCACCGCTCTCTGGACCCAGCCTCCGCCCCGCCTCCTCCGAGGCCGCCTCCACAAGAACTACTTGACCGCTTCTCTGAGGCACAGCGCTCCAGCTTCATGCGATTGTGGGCTCGGCTGCCCGCACATATGCACGACATCGCTTTCGATCTACACAATCCGGGATGGACACCGGAGGCTATTGATCGTTTGGCCGACGCCCTTGTGGAGTATTCTGACGTGTTCACTACTTCGAAAACCGATTTTGGTTCCTGCACCATAATGCCGTTCACGCTTTCTGTCCCAGCAGGGACGAAGCCCGTTGCATCACGCCCGTATCGTATGAACCCGTTGATGCAAAAGAAAGTGGATGTCGTATCGGACCAGTATTTGGCGGCAGGGCTCATTCAACATTGCACATCTCTGTGGGCTTCTCCTTTAGTTGTCATCCCCAAGAAGGACGGATCTGTTCGCATCACCGTCAACTACAAACGTCTCAACGCTCTGGTGGATTTGGATGGACAATCCCTCCCTCGAGTGGACGGTATCTTGGATTCTCTGTACACCGGGAAAGTGCTCTCCATCTTCGACCTCAACTCGGCGTTCCACCAGATCGTTTGTGATGAAGACACTGTCNATTAGATATGTGCACGTTTTGTCTTCGCTTCCGGAGCAGGGACTGCTCATTTCTTCACGGACTCGGACCAAAGCTACCGCTGTTTCCGGAGGCACCGTCACCGGTCCCGCTTATTTCGGACGCCAGCCGCGGGCTACCATATGTCCCTCGGACATCGTCGCCTGCCCGTCGCTCTAGCAGGTCCCGCTCGACAAACAAGACCACCCGGACCGCCGCGCGTCTGCTGCCGCCATCCGCAACGCCGGCATCGGCGTGTTCGTCGACCGCTCTTGCGCCACCGGTA